GGGGGGGAGTTAATTTTGCAGTTTGAAAGCCTAGAAGTTTACAACATAAGAAGGATGAGTTTTGGTGCATAACCAACCATAACAGCTGAGTGCAACTTACAGGAGAGGACTCTACTAAATTTTGGGTGCAAAGTATGGGGACGGGACGCTGCTAAATTTTTGCCAAGTTAAATTGTCAAAAGTTATTTTACGAGATCAAATATATTTGCCTTTACATCTTTGGGCATCAATTGGAGGAGACACGTTAGAAAAGGGACAAGACAGAAGAATTTTTTTTTTTTTTTTTTTTTTTAAACACTTTTAAAAATATCAGGCCCCTTTAAAAATATCTGAAGTTGAACACCCAGAAAGAAAAAAAAACAAACCACTAATTACTTTTTTTTTTTTTTTTAAAGCAGGCCTTTAACTTAGTCCAATACCTCATGAAATGTGACCCAAATCCTGATTAAGATCTCCGAACGCTCCCGTGGTACATACAAGTCTCACGTGAATAAATGCTATCATCCAAAAGACCTTCAGTGTAAGTCAAGAACTATTAAAGGATTTTATGGGTGAGGGGAAAGGGAGCAGACACAACGGAGAGCAAACCTCGCCCCTCCCCAATCATATGGGGGTAACAGCATCGATGGGGGTAAGAGCATATGGGCGTAAAACCAGGCCGATAGAGGAATGGCTAACTCCTCATCTAAAAAATAAACAAACAAAAAAACCCAAACCAAAACAAACCCCAGGTTTTAGGAAACGTCTTTCTGCAGGGCCCGCCTGGGGGACGAGCGCGGGCCGCCGGGACCCGAAGTACCAGGGCCCGCGGGCGGGAGACTTCCAGCGCCGGGTGCGAGGCGGCTGCTCGGGGCGCACTTTCCTCTGCCGAAGCGCGGCGAAACGGACTGGGAGAAAAGTTGCTTTCAGCCCTTCCGCCGTGTCAGAGGAAGGGGGACACAACGTCTTTCTGCAGGGCCCGCCTGGGGGACGAGCGCGGGCCGCCGGGACCCGAAGTACCAGGGCCCGCGGGCGGGAGACTTCCAGCGCCGGGTGCGAGGCGGCTGCTCGGGGCGCACTTTCCTCTGCCGAAGCGCGGCGAAACGGACTGGGAGAAAAGTTGCTTTCAGCCCTTCCGCCGTGTCAGAGGAAGGGGGACACCTCCCTCTCCCTCTCCCTCTCCCTCTCCCCCTCCCCCGTGTCCGTGCCCGTGCCCGTCCCGCGGCGGGGGGGCGGCAGCACACGGGGGCCCGCAGGTGCGGG